AGGACAAGACGAACAGGAAATAGAGTAAATAAGTAAGTAATTATCAAAAGAAGGCACCAAACCGGGAAGGCTATGTAGCACCATCAAATACGCAAAATAATCAGAGGGCGCTAAATATCACCAAGGATGCCAATACGAGAACAAAAACGCATAAGGCGAACGATATCAAAAGTATCCGAGTCACCAAGAATTCTATCGAGGGACAGGTGACCGCGAGGGGCGGTCGGAAAGCAAGACACACGCTCGTCCTGGAAGTCAGGACATTCAAGAAGGACATGCACGACCGTAAGAGGGACAATGCAACTAGGACAATAAGGAGCAGGGCGGCGCTCCATCAAGTGACCATGGGTTAAGCGAGTATGGCCAATACGCAACCTCGCCAGAGCTGTTTCCCACCGCCGGTTACGGTGGAAGGAGGACGGCCACGAGGAAACGCAACATTTAAGAGTACGTAGCTTGTTACCAGTAACAGACAACCAAGAAGCCTGCCAACGGGTAAGGACTGAGGAATGGATAACCGGGTAAAAGTCGGAATACGGAATGCCTTTACGAGAGATGGGACAAGAGCGGACAGCTTCCTTAGCGGCAGCATCCGCACGCTCATTTAAAGACACGCCAATATGGCTGGGAACCCAACAAAACTCAACCGACTTAAATTTACTGTGAACGAGAAACAACCAATGCTGGATCTCGACAACTACCGGATGAACTGGATTAAAGCACCCGAGAGCCATGAGGGCACTACGAGAGTCAACAACAACCACAAAGGAAGACTGACAACGAGAAAGCAGGAGACGAAGAGCATAGAGAATAGCATAAAGTTCCGCTGTAAAGATGCTAGTCTCCGGAGGCAAGCGACACATATAAGTGCGATCAGGAAAAACAACAGAGTAGCCAACACCGTCCGCTGACTTAGACCCATCGGTGAAGACAGAAACGGAGCGGGAGTGAGAAGAAAAGTGCTCGAGGAAAAGGCGTTTTAGAACTGTAGGAGGGGTAAAAGCTTTAGTGATACGAGTCAAGGATGTACAAAACCGCGGAAGAGGGACCCTCCACGGGGGCAAAGAAGGAACAACACGAGGAGAAACATCAGAAATACGAACGGAAAGAGAATCCTGTAGGCGAGATAACCGGACAGAAAGAGGGAGGTGGTGAAGAGGAACAGGAACCGCAGGAGGGGTAAAAGTTAAAGCACGACAGAGGCGAGAGGAAGGATGTTGCAAGGACCGCGCAAGATAGCGAAGACAGTAGCGATCACGGCGGTCCTGGAGAGACAGGAAGCCAGTGTCAACATACAAGCTCAGGACGGGAGTCGAACGAAAGGCACCAGAACTGAGGCGCAACCCAGTATGGTGCAAAGCATCAAGACGGCGAAGAATAGAAGGAGAAGCAGACGAGTAAGCAGGGCAACCATAATCGAGCTTAGACAGGACGAGAGAGGAATGTAAAGCAAGGAGAGTGCGCCTATCTGCCCCCCAAGAAGTATGGGACAAGACCCGAAGGAGGGTAAGGGACTTAGAGCACTCAACACGGAGGTAAGAGATATGGGGAGACCAAGACAAACGAGTGTCAAGGAATAACCCCAAAAGCTTCGCGGAATCTTTGTATTCAAGGGGATGACCATAAAGTGACAAAGAGGGACGAAGAACAACCCGTTTCCGCGTAAAAGTCATGGCACAAGTCTTAGAAGTAGAGAACTTGAAGCCATGACCTGTGGCCCAAGACGACACGGCATCAATCGCAAGTTGAAGCCGGCGTTGAAGGAGAGGCGAATCATCACCCTGACAACAAAGGGTAAGATCATCGACATAGAGAGCGGAGAAGACACCAGAAGGAAGAGAGGAAAGAAGACCATTGAGGGCAACCAGAAAAAGAGTAGTGCTCAGAACACTACCCTGGGGCACACCTTCGTATTGCTGAAAAGAGGGAGAGAGAGCGGTACCAAGGCGCACCCGAAAGGAACGACGAGAGAGGAAGCTGCGGAGAAAGAGAGGGAGATGACCACGAAGGCCAAAAGAATGAAGTTGAGATAGGATATGATAACGCCAAGTGGTGTCGTAAGCCTTTTCTAGGTCAAAAAGGACGGCAACAACGGAGGTCTTCGCAGCAAAAGCAGTACGAATATAGACCTCCAAGTTCACCAGGACATCTGTCGTGCTGCGGCACTTGCGGAAACCAAATTGAGAAGGGGAGAGGAGGTGATGGTGTTCCAGGAACCACATCAGACGAACGTTAACCATACGTTCAAAGAGTTTGCAGACACAACTTGTGAGAGCAATAGGGCGAAAGTCCTTAGGGGAAGTACCCAGAGACCCCGGTTTGCGAACAGGGAGGACAACGGCATCGAGCCAGTCCTCAGGGACTGACGACGACTCCCAGATCCGATTATACAGACTCAGTAAATACCGAGACGTGCTCGGAGGGAGATGGCGAAGCATCTCATAATGAATACCATCGGAGCCCGCCGCCGTAGAACCGCAGAGGGCCAGGGCAGAACGAAGTTCAGAGAGAGAGAAGGGATCATTATAGGGAAGCTGAAGATGAGTGCAGAAATCTAAAGGACGAGACTCAAGGACAGGTTTACGAAGAAGGAAAGATTGGGGAAGATGAAGACCAGAGCTAACAGAAGAAAAGTGGGAACCCAGTTCGGAAGCGACCTGCAACGGGTCCGCCACAAGAGTATCATGGAGGTGAAGGACCGGTGAAACATCGGGAACGAACTTACCAGGAAATAGAGTAGACACCAGCAGCATTAGAAACAGGAAGAGCAGTGTGAACTAGATTGCTACAAAGTGTGTTAGTTTGTCAAAAAGTGAGTAAGAGGATGAAAGGTATTGGTAAAAGTTTTGAGTTCAGATATGAAAGGAAGGCATAGTACAGTGCTACTAGTGTTGGAAGCAGGTTTAGAATGAAAGAAATTGCGTTTTGCTTGAGAGTAGGCACAGTTGATGAAATGCAAAGAGTAACCAAGGCGAGAGAATGATTTGCAGATAAAGGCAATTTCAGAATCAAGAAACCGAGGGTCGCTGAGGCGTAGAGCGCGGAGGAAGAGAGACACGAGGACACTTTTCTTAACAGGAGGAGGATGGTAGGAAAAGAAGTGAATGTACATGCCACTATGCATGGGTTTGCAGTAAACAGACAGAGAACCCGGACACAGAGCTGTGAAAGTGAACGTCAAGAAAAGGAACTACACTTTCTACTAAACTTTGCTCCTTACCCCTCTCTAGCCTATTTATTGCCTGCATCTACTTCCTCATCACAATCGACTTGAGAATAGTCCAGGATGGACCGAAACGTCGTCGTCCCTTCACCTTCTAGTATGTGGTCTGGTCAACTTACTTTAGCCACGTTATTGTGACTCATCACCCGCATAGGTTAGGTGTTTATGTTCTGTTGGCGATTATTTGTATTTGTAGTGTGTGGGTAAAGCATTTAGTGTTGTGGTTCGCAACCCGTCCTTGACTGAAGTCTATTACATCCAGCAGTCGACCCCACAGACGCATTCATAAATTTTTACATGCTGTTCATTCAAAACAGCAATTTTCTTAAATATAAATTAATATAATAGCATATTGTGCATATTTAGGCATAGGTTAGGTGATTAGGTTCTGTTGGCAATTATTTGTATTTGTAGTACATGGGTGAAGCATTTATAGCATTGTGGTTCGAACACGTCGTCAGTGAAGCACTTGTTCCGGAAGTATTCAAACAAAATCGGTTGCGAGTCGTGTGCAAATCGTTTTTCATTCATAAACAGAGGGTTTAACGGGTGCATGGAATCACTCTTAGATCTTTGTTTAGAGGACGGGCTGGTGGTTCGAACAAAATTGGTTAGTGAAGCACTGTTCCGGAAATGTTCGGACAAAATCAGCCGAGAGTCGTGTGTAACCCGTTTTTCATTCATAAACTGGGGGTTTGGGGGATGCATGTAATCACTTCTGGGTCTTTGGAGGATGGGCTGTCACTTTTTTTTTTTTTTTAACCTCGTACCAGCTCATGCTCCAGAGCTTTAATGGTCTCTTGACTTTGTGTTGGTTTTCCTGCCATCACCACTTTTAACACCTTCCCCTTCGGTTTATATCTTCAAGCTGTGTTTGTCTGCTGTTGCTTGTATTCAACAGCAGCCCTTTGCCACCACCTGCCATCACCGGTTCCGCTTTGGTGGACACCATGTTGGTTGACCTTATTACCTTTGTGCCCCGTTCCAAGATTCATACTTCCCAGGTCATCTTCCGTGTCATCAAATCTAGCTAGCCTGCAGTCTAACCTTGGGCTCCATGATGAACACAAGTATAGTATGCTGCATTGACCAAAGTCTTCAACATGTCTTGGGCTGATATTAAATGCTGGGCTGCCAAAACCCAAATATCACAAATTCCAGTTTGTCATAGTTTTGCCTTGTGTTATCTATCCTAGCCCGATATCTCTTCTTGAACCTAGTGCATGCTACCTATCCTCCTCCCTAATAAGTCCCATTTTTGTTCTCTGTAGTTAACTCCAAGGTCCCCTAGAATCCCAGTATAAAATGCCTCTTTCTGGAAGAGCCCCAGTGGCATCCCAACCTCCTTCCCAGGTTAATCAGCGTGCTGTTAATCACCTTCATATCCAACTAACAATATGGCTGCATTCAGAAGTTGGGCTGCCTGGTGATGATATCCAGTACTATACATTTGGCACAATTTTTTTTAAATTTGTGTTGTTTGCAGAGTTGTTTGGTGTTTGAGGTTTTGGTCTTTGACTGTGAATGCTTTCACAGTGGTGGTGAACTGTCATTCACGCTCTGCCTCTGATGGGGCCAGGCTTTAGTCCCTGATAGGCCAAACAACTCCTGCATCTGATGTAACCCTCTTGCATGGGGCAATCTCACGATAGCTTCAGGGAGCCACTGCAGGCTTGGTGTTTTATTACCTTTACTTCAGTTGTGCGCCTGCACTAGCAGATGTCTTCCTAAAAATAGAACTATCAGGCAAGGTTTAAATATTTGTAAAGAACAAGAATTTGAGTAACAATTTTAATTTTTTTGTTGTTTTGGTAGAGTTACAGTTGTGTATAAAATTGTATACATTAATAAATCTTTGGAACTATGCATTATGAAAAAAAAATGAGAATTATCAAAAATAAAGAGGTACCAGTGGATTTCATGGTTTCATATTCAGGTACCAGCACTGTAGTAATGTCAAGTAAACAACAGACTTCACCTCTTAATACCAAATAAATGGGATATGAAGACCCCCAAGTTATGAGTGACCTTTGCTTGGGCTAAACTGCAAAATGACCAGATTTATTCAGATCTTTATATGGCACAATTCAACCTGGAACCCAAATGAAGCCTCAGAATCCAAAACTGTTACCAGTAATAACCACACTTGCCCTCCAATCCTTATTCAATCTGATGTGGCATGGTCATACATTGCTTTAAAATGTTCATGTGTTGAATTTCAATTCAAATGCTAATATCCAACATTTCTTTTCATCTTGTATAATTCTAATTTACTATAACCTGTTTATAAAAAGGCACTTTAGCACATTACCAATACAGTATATGAATCTTGACTCGTTCTTTACATTTTTATAACGTCTAATATTCCTGAAATTTAATAAAAACTAATTTCATCAAACCGAAAACTTGTTCTTCCAACTTTTCCCTTTTGTTGGATGATATTTAATACAAATGTAAAAAAAACATTTCCAAAGCTCAAGAAAGACTAATAGGTCAAGATATCCAAAAAATAACATTAACTGCTAATGTGTCAACACAGTAGTGCACGCCTGCACACTACTGGTAATGTGTCAACACTGTAGTGCACGCCCGCACACTACTGGTAATGTGTCAACACAGTAGTGCACGCCCGCACACTACTGGTAATGTGTCAACACTGTAGTGCACGCCCGCACACTACTGGTAATGTGTCAACACAGTAGTGCACGCCCGCACACTACTGGTAATGTGTCAACACTGTAGTGCACGCCCGCACACTACTGGTAATGTGTCAACACAGTAGTGCACGCCCGCACACTACTGGTAATGTGTCAACACTGTAGTGCACGCCCGCACACTACTGGTAATGTGTCAACACAGTAGTGCACGCCCGCACACTACTGGTAATGTGTCAACACTGTAGTGCATGCCCGCACACTACTGGTAATGTGTCAACACGGTAGTGCACGCCTGCACACTACTGGTAATGTGTCAACACGGTAGTACACACCCGCACACTACTGGTAATGCTACATAATGCCTGGAATTGCTCTCCAAACTTCTTGCTGTCAGAGTCATTACAATGTATTTCACACGCACACACAGAGCAACTGTGAATGTAAATGTCTTATACATGGTTAATGTTTGTGCATCTTTTAACTGCCAAAACCATAACCAGATTCCTATTATTTCATGCTATGGAAAAATGCTGATTACTGTACCTGTTACTCCACTATCAATACATCATTTCAGGCTTTAATATCAGAACATTTCTGACCATTAAGTTTGTAAGGTTATCCATATTTTTCCTGAAGATATTTTATTTCTATTCCTGACATTTTTGGTCTAAAAGTTGTAAATATAAAAAAATTAAAACACTCCTCACTCTGTAGTGATTCAGTAACATCAATCTCAGCAGTAAATGTATTTGGCTTCAACATATGAGAACAGTACAGACCTAGTTACAACTATACTTCATTCTCTAACAACTACAGTACTTTTACTCAAATTAAAAACTTTTATTAAAAAATCTACATCTTTACATTTGTGGTTCTGTACATCTCAAAAGACAATCGTTATATCTGACAAAACTTCGCAAATCAAAGTCTAATTTAGAACTTAAATGTAGTATTCATATGAAAAATAATCACCAGTTTCAATTGGTAGCATATTTTACAATAAACTTTTCCTTGGAAACCTATTTCACCATTTTAAATTCCAACTTCAAATTAAAGAGCTCCTATATGGCTCATATTACAGAGGTGCCTCACAACGAAAGGATGTGTACATATTTAATACGTGTGAAGATAGCAGCATAACAAGTGCAACCCCTTCATACAATAGGAGGTACTGCATGTGAATACTCTTAACTACACAATACAAGTAATTAAGGGATAAAAAATTAAACACCGAGTAAAAAGCTTAATACTTAGTATATTACATTCAAATTTTCTTTAACTTGCATAAGCACTGTCAATGTAATCTTTGCCTCCTTCACAACAAATACTTGTAATTACTATTGAGGACTAAGCCACAAGTACTTTGTATGATCGCTTATAACAATTACACCAGATAGGTCAACATTAATGCAGGGAAAAGTTTTATCAGTGATAATTCTAAATTATGTTTTCAATATAAGACATGGTTTATGGAAAACTGGTTCCAACAACATTGTAAAATAAGAACATCACAGTGTAAATTATTAGTGTTATTGAGCACAATAAACACTAAAATGAATGTTTAAGGATTAGAGTAATGTTAACATATCTAACATCTTCAGTTGCTGAAGTCCGAGTCTCCTTCATAGTCATCCCCAAAACCATACAAATCAAATGGATTATGGAGGAAATCCTGAAAGGAAAATTATTTTAGCTCAAAATGTGATAATAGGATAAATAAAAATTCTATATTGAACTATGAACTACTTAACATGGGACTCCAGCAGCTTCTCGGAGGACCTAATCAACACAATGTGCCCAAAGAGTGCCAATGGGTTCATCATTGGGGAGCCCAATGATGAACTTCTGGCAGCCAGCTGGTCCACAAACGGCTGACATCACATCCTTGCAGGACATCAACATTAGGTCCCCAACAACTCTTAAAATAACTGGGCTCCCACACCCAGTGCACACTCGTCATATACTTCAATAGGCTCACTTAGTCAAACTTCATGAAACTACCAAACATAAATGGGAGTTAGCATACCCCTTAAATTCTCAAAAGCTTACTCGGGCACCTCAGCCAAGGCACTATGCTGACAGTGGCATTGTCAAATGGTCAATTGACCAGTGTGTGACACACCAACTCCAGAACTGGTGCACTGCCTCACAGCACCAGCGGAACTGTCTTCTAGCCTAGGTTCTCAAGTGTCGCAAAGCGTACAGTAAATAAACCAAACTGTTTCTGCATGGTCAATAAATAAGGAAGAAAAAATGCAGCATCCATGAAATTTAATTCAATTAAAAAGCGAAGCAATACAATCATAAATGTTAGCAGCCCCTGCATAAATGTAAATTTAAATGTCCAGCCAAGTGAATCGCTAGCCTGCCTTAACACTTTAAACTCAAATCTTTGGGTTACTCCACTAACACTTTAGTGGATTTAGTTCTTCCACTCTGAATAAGAGTGGAAAATTAATGAGGCTTATTTCATCTTGGTAAGTACTTGCAGATCACAATAAAAATACAGTGGCAAGTTTTACAAATTTAATCCATTCCCAGAAACGACTCGCCCCGAAAATTCGTAACCCGAAACAAATTTCCCATAAGAAATTATATAAATTGAATTAGTCTGTTCCATACTTCCAAAAATATTAACTTCAAAATATATTTAATACAAAAGCTGTAACTTTTACATACTAATCTTTATTGATGACTTGTTGGAGCATGACAGACGGTATTGCGTACGACAGTGAGAGGGGGGGGGGGAGAGAGAGAGAAAGAAGGAGAGAAAGAAGGAGAGATGTTAGTGTTTGGAAGGGGAGTGAATAAACCAAGTTATGTTTAACCCCTTAACTGTGTTGCCTCCAAATGTGACACCCCCGCAGTGCGCAGGAAATAAATTCTCTAAAAAGAAAAAAGAATTTTTTCCAAAGTGTCAAAAACCCTTCCCTCAGTATGGGTATGTAAAAAAAAAGTCGAAATTGTACTTACTTTGGCTGCTATGGGGTCCGGAAGTTGGGGCGTGACGTCATCATTCCCCGTGCGCCCGTGTCGTAAGCTCTCGGGGGTGGTGGGGCGCTCGGGGCGGGGCGCGCGAGTTGCCGCGAATATATTTTCGTTCATTTTTTGCGCACCTTTCCAAATACATTTTCATTGTTTTTATGTGCCAATCCAATGTATAATGCAGTACACTCAAGGTCACTCACCGTAGCCCTGCGGGTCTTCACTCTATCCTCGCGGCACCACTGTACGCCAGGAGAGTATCCCAGTCAATCCCAACCGGCCTCTGATCGAGAAGGAGTGGGAACACAACTTGTTCACTTAACTGTTGTATGCCCGCCCCGTCATAGGGCTCTACTACTAACCACAAGGTCGCCAACTGGTGTTTTCGGTGTCCAGTAACACGTCGGTGGTTTTGTTGAATTGTGGTAACAGTGGCGAGAACACAATCAACATGTCTGATATCAGGCAGGTATTTACTTCTATCGCTCTCTGCTTTCAGGTATTACATAGCCACAAGAAATATGGAGGGGATGATATAAACACCAATGTACTTTGTATTTTACTTAAAACTCATTCAAAGACATCACAAGATTATATCAATAAGCAAACGGCTGTCTCAGGCAGAAGTAAGTAAGTAATTATCAAAAGAAGGCACCAAACCGGGAAGGCTATGTAGCACCATCAAAGACGCAAAATAATCAGAGGGCGCTAAATATCACCAAGGATGCCAATACGAGAACAAAAACGCATAAGGCGAACGATATCAAAAGTATCCGAGTCACCAAGAATTCTATCGAGGGACAGGTGACCGCGAGGGGCGGTCGGAAAGCAAGACATACGCTCGTCCTGGAAGTCAGGACATTCAAGAAGGACATGCACGACCGTAAGAGGGACAATGCAACTAGGACAATAAGGAGCAGGGCGGCGCTCCATCAAGTGACCATGGGTTAAGCGAGTATGGCCAATACGTAACCTCGCCAGAGCTGTTTCCCACCGCCGGTTACGGTGGAAGGAGGACTGCCACGAGGAAACACAACACTTAAGAGTACGTAGCTTGTTACCAGTAACAGACAACCAAGAAGCCTGCCAACGGGTAAGGACTGAGGAATGGATAACCGGGTAAAAGTCGGAATACGGAATGCCCTTATGAGAGATGGGACAAGAGCGGACAGCTTCCTTGGCGGCAGCATCCGCACGCTCATTTAAAGACACACCAATATGGCTGGGAACCCAACAAAATTCAACCGACTTAAATTTACTGTGAACGAGAAACAGCCAATGCTGGATCTCGACAACCACTGGATGAACTGGATTAAAGGACCCGAGAGCCATGAGGGCACTACGAGAGTCAACAACAACTACAAAGGAAGACTGACAACGAGAAAGTAGGAGACGAAGAGCATAGAGAATAGCATAAAGTTCCGCTGTAAAGATGCTAGTCTCCGGAGGCAAGCGACACATATAAGTGCGATCAGGAAAAACAACAGAGTAGCCAACACCGTCCGCTGACTTAGACCCATCGGTGAAGACAGAAACGGAGCGGGAGTGAGAAGAAAAGTGCTCGAGGAAAAGGCGTTTTAGAACCGTAGGAGGGGTAAAAGCTTTAGTGATACGGGTCAAGGATGTACAAAACCGCGGAAGAGGGACCCTCCACGGGGGCAAAGAAGGAACAACACGAGGAGAAACATCAGAAATACGAACGGAAAGAGAATCCTGCAGGCGAGATAACCGGACAGAAAGAGGGAGATGGTGAAGAGGAACAGGAACCGCAGGAGGGGTAAAAGTTAAAGCACGACAGAGGCGAGAGGAAGGATGTTGCAAGGACCGCGCAAGATAGCGAAGACAGTAGCGATCACGGCGGTCCTGGAGAGACAGGAAGCCAGTGTCAACATACAAGCTAAGGACGGGAGTCGAACGAAAGGCACCAGAACTGAGGCGCAACCCAGTATGGTGCAAAGCATCAAGACGGCGAAGAGTAGAAGGAGAAGCAGACGAGTAAGCAGGGCAACCATAATCGAGCTTAGACAGGACGAGAGAGGAATGTAAAGCAAGGAGTGCGCGCCTATCTGCCCCCCAAGAAGTATGGGACAAGACCCGAAGGAGGGTAAGGGCCTTAGAGCACTCAACACGGAGGTAAGAGATATGGGGAGACCAAGACAAACGAGTGTCAAGGAATAACCCCAAAAGCTTCGCGGAATCTTTGTATTCAAGGGGATGACCATAAAGTGACAAAGAGGGACGAAGAACAACCCGTTTCCGCGTAAATGTCATGGCACAAGTCTTAGAAGTAGAGAACTTGAAGCCATGATCAGTGGCCCAAGACGACACGGCATCAATTGCAAGTTGAAGCCGGCGTTGAAGGAGAGGCGAATCATCACCCTGACAACAAAGGGTAAGATCATCGACATAGAGAGCGGAGAAGACACCAGAAGGAAGAGAGGAAAGAAGACCATTGAGGGCAACCAGAAAAAGAGTAGTGCTCAGAACACTACCCTGGGGCACACCTTCGTACTGCTGAAAAGAGGGAGAGAGAGAGCGGTACCAAGGCGCACCCGAAAGGAACGACGAGAGAGGAAGCTGCGGAGAAAGAGAGGGAGATGACCACGAAGGCCAAAAGAATGAAGTTGAGATAGGATATGATAACGCCAAGTGGTGTCGTAAGCCTTTTCCAGGTCAAAAAGGACGGCAACAACGGAGGTCTTCGCAGCAAAAGCAGTACGAATATAGACCTCCAAGTTCACCAGGACATCTGTCGTGCTGCGGCACTTGCGGAAACCAAATTGAGAAGGGGAGAGGAGGTGATGGTGTTCCAGGAACCACATCAGACGAACGTTAACCATACGTTCAAAGAGTTTGCAGACACAACTCGTGAGAGCAATAGGGCGAAAGTCCTTAGGGGAAGTACCCAGAGACCCCGGTTTGCGAACAGGGAGGACAACGGCATCGAGCCAGTCCTCAGGGACTGACGACGACTCCCAGATCCGATTATACAGACTCAGTAAATACTGAGACGTGCTCGGAGGGAGATGGCGAAGCATCTCATAATGAATACCATCGGAGCCCGCCGCCGTAGAACCGCAGAGGGCCAGGGCAGAACGAAGTTCAGAGAGAGAGAAGGGATCATTATAGGGAAGCTGAAGATGAGTGCAGAAATCTAAAGGACGAGACTCAAGGACAGGTTTACGAAGAAGGAAAGATTGGGGAAGATGAAGACCAGAGCTAACAGAAGAAAAGTGGGAACCCAGTTTGGAAGCGACCTGCAACGGGTCCGCCACAAGAGTATCATGGAGGTGAAGGACCGGTGAAACATCGGGAACGAACTTACCCGCTATCTTGCGGATACGCTTCCAGATCTGGGCCAGAGGGGTTTCGGACGTAATTGTTGAGACATAAGATGCCCAACATTCACGTTTAGCCGTACGGATGGCCCTACGGGCCACCGCACTCGCTTTCCGAAAGAAAAGAAAAGAATCGGTCGTCTGCCTACGGCGGTGCCTCTTCCAGGCTGCACGCTTACAGCGGACAGCCCGAGCACAGTCCGCACTCCACCAGGGAACGCACTTCCGTGGACCCCGAGAGGAAGAGCGAGGAATAGAGCGGAGGGCAGCGTTGAAGACAGTGTCATGAAAAAGGAGGAGAGCGCGAGAGAGAGGCAGAAGGGAGAGGTCAGAGAGAGCAGCACTGAGGGTAAATAGGGTCCAGTCTGCCTTAGCAAACTGCCACCTAGGGAAAGAGAGGAAAGGGCGAAAAGAGAAAAAGGAAACAAGGATGGGGAAATGATCACTTCCATGGAGGTCATCAAGAACCTGCCACGTGAAATCTAAGTAAAGAGAAGAAGAGCAGAGAGAAAGATCAAGACAAGAAAGGGTGCGAGTCCGAGAGTCCAAATGAGTGGGCTCACCAGAATTCAGAAGAGACAGGGAAGAAGATAGGAGAAACGGCTCAAGGAGGCGACCCCGGGTATTCGTCAGAACGTCACCCCAAAGAGAATGACGACAATTGAAGTCACCCAGCAGGAGCACAGGCTCCGGCAAGGAGTCTAGGAGGTGTTTCAAATCAGGAAGAGAGAGCGGGACACTCTGGGGGAGATAAATGGAACAAACTGTGTACCATTTCCCCACAAAGATACGAGCAGCAGAACAATGGAGAGGCGAAGGAAAAAGTAAAGGAACAAAGGGAACATCAGCCCGAATCAAAAGAGCAGAAGAATTAGAAGCCCCAGCAATGGCTGGGGGGGGGGGGGGGGGAGAGAAAGGAATAGCCACGAAAACAACCAGGACGAGCACCAAGCATTGGCTCCTGGAGACAGACACAAAGGGGCGAAAACCGCGAAATCAGAAGTTGGAGTTCGAGGAAATTGGCGTAATAACCTCGAACGTTCCATCGAAGAATGGATAACGACGAGAAGAGAAAGGACAAAAACAGAGAACAAGGAAGAAACAAAGGCGAAAGAGCAACAGAGCACGTTAAAGAATATCAGGGTCGGGATCAGGGTCAGCAAAGTCAGGGTTAGGGGGGCATGGATAAACTGAGCAAAGACGGAGGGAAGGAAGTGGGAGAACAGACCAGAGGCGGACGGGCGAGGTCCGGAGTAGGAGGAAGGAGGAGTAGGAGGAAGGAGGAGGAAGAGGAAGGAGGAGGAAGAGGAAGGAGGAGGAAGAGGAAGAGGAAGAGGAAGAGGAAGAGGAAGGAGGAGGAAGGAGGAGGAGGAGGAGACAACGGAGAGGAGCAGTCAAGGACAGCAGTAGGAAGAGGGGGAGGAGAAAGAGGGGAGTGCACCTCAGCAAGGACAGCAACCGAGAGGGAAGCGGGGGCCAAAGAAACCTCCATAGCAGGAACACGGGGCGCAACCACCGAAACGGGAGGAGAAGGGGCGATAGAGTCAGTAGTAGGGGCCGAGGAAGAAAGCGAAGCCTTCTTACCCACCGGGGAGGAGGAAGGAGAGGAGCCAGGCTTATGCTTCTGCCTAAAAAGAGACCGGTGTCCCAGCAACTATGTACCGGGCAACGGATTCCAGCGTCTCAACAGAAGGTGAATGAGAGCACACACGACGGCCGTTAGGAGAGCGATAGACATCAGCCCGCACCGACAGGCGGCGGGGAGAGTCAACAGACGGAAAAGGATGGGAAGGAGGATCGGAAGGAGACTAGGAAGAAGACACAGGAGACAAGACAGACCGGGTAGAAAGAAGGGGAACCCCAGACAGAGGACCAGGAGGGGAACTCTTCGGGACAGAACTCAAAGGAACAGAGGAGGGGGCAGTGGGCGTATCAGGGTCCAAGGCCCAGATACGGTTCTGGGTCTGAGGAAGGTGGGAAGGATGAGGAGAGGAAGAGCGCAACACGCAAGCACAAGAGACGTTAGCATAAGGCGGGAGCCGGTGAACCTGGCGCCTCGCCTCAGGGAAAGATAAACGCTCCTGGTGCTTCAAGGCGAGAACTGCTGCCTCAAGCTTGTAATGGATACACGCACGGGAGAAGGTAGGATGGGCCTCACCGCAGTTGAGGCAGCGAAGCTGGGGAGAAGTGCACTCCGACTTATTGTGACCTTCGCCCCCACACAAAAGACAGAGACAGTCCCAGAGCAGCGGAGGGCACGATGCCCAAACCTCCAGCACTTGTTACAGAGCCTAGGAGAGGGAATGTACTCCTGGACAGAGCACCTGGCACCAGCAAGAATGAGAGAGGGTGGAAGGGTTCTACCATCAAAGGTAATCTTCACAACCCGAAGGGGGACGAGTAAACGTGTCCACCTGGAGGACAGAATGGCCCTGGGCATCGAAGATATGCCGAATATCATCGTGGCAGTTCTGCAGATTCCTAACACCGGTCGCAACATGAGGCGGGAGGAGACTAGTGCCAACATTGGCGTTCAACTGAGCATTCGAGACCCGAACAGGGGGTCTCGCCAAGGCAGGATAAGGCAGCCAAGCAGGAAGCTGCATCCTGAAAAGGAGCAGCAACGACACGTGTACCGAGATGAGTGGGATTGAAGGTAACAGAGGCATCCACAGAATCAACAAGACGTCAATGGAGGAAGAAATAGTCAGGAGGCGCAGAATCAAGGAGGACATCAAAGAATTTGGCCCACGAAGCGGGACCAAACAAGGCTTGATAGGCATCAGAACGGGAAGGAATCGAGCGAGTGCGGCCGTGTCGAGGACGGCATTGAGAACCCCCAGAGAGATGGGTTAAAAGGCGCAGTAGTTACAACTAGAGATCGAGTCGTGCCAGGGGACGAGGTAGTCACCACTGGGGGCTTGGGGCTCGACAAAACCACAGAGGAGGGAGGGGAGCCGAGGGGAGTAGTCAGAGAGGCCAAATGAGAAGCAAGGTCGGGGCCCAATGCAGCGAAGGCTACAGAGCCTGTTCTTCCAATACGGACCGACTCGGGGGCTTGGTCGCCCACCCCACGAGCCAGAGAAGGTAAAGGAGGAAAAGAATACAGCATAGGTACGAAAAAGAAACATTCATTCACAAATGTGCCCCCTTCATCCACCATGGAGCCACAATTAGAGGCAGGACACCCAACAGGAAGCTATTACCGATCATGCGGGGGCCCCCTAGGGGTGCGTCGTGAGTATACGCCCCACAAACGCCACCTTAAAACCACTACCAGATTGATCTGATAAAATTTAAATTTTTAAAAAATATTTTAATGAGTGACTCAGTACTGCGTCGTTGGAACACATTCAGTAGAAAAATGAGTGACGAGATAGTCAGTCTGTGGAACGCGAAAGTGTTAAGAACCGACAGTCCGTTGAGATCGGGTTCAGTGACGAAAGGGGGATTGACAATAAAAAGATTCCCTTCGCTCTCGACGTTGGGTACTACAGTTCTACGGGTGCAAGAGTATGCCTCCTCAAGCACCCGGGTGTCAAAATAGAAGAAGTTCAAAGGAATAACCAAAACAAGCAAAAGGTCAGCAGGAAACAACAAGCAGATAGGAGAAGAGGGGGAAGAAAACTAAACACAAGGAAAAGGAAAAGTTGTTCAGCACAATTTGAGAGGATAGCAGCAGGAGCACAAGGCTACAAAAGGACAGAGGACTGTCCCAAGGAGCATCACACATTGGCAGCCGCCCACAAGCCCCCCTCATGGCATCAACGAGCTGAATGGGGAGGGGGGGAACTACTTTAAGAAAACTATCTAGTTCTCTTGAGAACATTCACTTTTGTTCTGGCAATATTTGTTTTGCTCGCTGGGAGGATGTTGAACAACCTTGGATTTCTGATGTTTATACAGTGTTTTCTGATTGTGCCTATGGAACCTCTGCCCTTTCATACCTCTCTCGTCTCCTTTCTAAAGAATGTAATTGGACAGCTTTAATAGTTTAACTGCTTTACCATGTTTATGTATGCTGTATATATTCTTTGTATTCCCTCCATTTCAGCTCTGGAGGGGGAAGAGAGTACTGAGCAGTACTCAAGATGGGGACAGCACAAGTGAGTTGAATAGTACAACCAATGTGATGCCATAGCCCGTGCTACTTGGATCTTTTAGTTCCAGGTAGCGAATCTTCAACAACAACAACAACAACATTGTGATGAGATCCCTGGATTTGAAGTCTCGTAATACACCCTCTAATTTTTCTGCCCGATCCTACATTTGCTTGGTAACGTCCCCTAAACGTTAGGTCGTCAGACATAATTCGCAGATGCTTTAAATGTTGCTTTCCTACTATGGACAGATAAGTATAGGCAGAGTATTATTAGAATGGCTCCCCCCCCCCACAGGTGAGAAATAGTTTACGTAAATGTCTAACGTGTGTTTAAACATCTACTTCGGTCTCTCCACCGTCCCCGGGGAGGAGCCCAGCTCACTTAACACAAAAAGGGGAAAGAAGTATTTAAACTCAGGGTGTCATGAGCTTTGCTTGAAGCTTGCATAAATGAACAAGATGGTGGCAGTGCATACCAAGTTGATTATTAACAGCGATCATTAGATTCCGTGCGTCAACTAAAACGAGTTAAAAGTACTCATTTATGATAAGAGGGTGAACAGTGCAAGTAAATGTGTTACTCAAAAAACCATATTGATTGCTGAAAGATAATATTTTTTTATCAACTACACAATATAACATACACAATTTAAAATGTTATATAAATGGAATGAGGGGGGGGGGGGGGGGGGCTTGAATGCACACAAATATAGGGCATACTTGTATTAATCCAAGAAGCAAGGTTAAAAATAGTTAAAACGGTGAAAGTAAAATAGTAAAAACGGTGAATGAAAAAAAAAGTACAAACAAATTAATGCAACGTACCAGATGATCGCCATAAAACAGTGCATCTGGAAGACTATGGTCACTATCATAGCCATACATCCAGAAATCATCAAAGCTCCCATCAGAATATAACGATTCATCTGAAAAAAAAAACCAGACGTTGATATCTGCAGCATTATGTGGTTTTTGGTGGGACAACTCTTTAGTGTCAACCAATTTAACTCTATATATTTTTCTCTAACATTTGGGGAGTAGGGCAGGAGGGGGCGGGCTGGCAGCGTGGGGCGGGGCGGGCTGGCAGCGTGGGGTGGGCTGGCAGCGTGGGGCGGGGCGGGGCGGGCTGGCAGCGTGGGGCGGGGCGGGCTGGCAGCGTGGGGCGGGGCGGGCTGGCAGCGTGGGGCGGGCTGGCAGCGTGGGGTGGGCTGGCAGCGTGGGGCGGGGCGGGGCGGGCTGGCAGCGTGGGGTGGGCTGGCAGCGTGGGGCGGGGCGGGGCGGGCTGGCAGCGTGGGGCGGGGCGGGCTGGCAGCGTGGGGCGGGGCGGGGCGGGCTGGCAGCGTGGGGCGGGGCGGGCTGGCAGCGTGGGGCGGGGCGGGCTGGCAGCGTGGGGCGGGGCGGGGAGGGCTGGCAGCGTGGGGCGGGGAGGGCTGGCAGCGTGGGGCGGGGAGGGCTGGCAGCGTGGGGCGGGGCGGGGCGGGCTGGCAGCGTGGGGCGGGGCGGGCTGGCAGCGTGGGGCGGGGCGGGGCGGGGCGGGGCGGGCTGGGCTGGCAGCGTGGGGCGGGGCGGGCTGGGCTGGCAGCGTGGGGCGGGGCGGGCTGGCAGCGTGGGGCGGGGCGGGCTGGCAGCGTGGGGTGGGGCTGGCGGGGTGGGGCAGGCTGGCAGCGTGGGGCGGGGCGGGGTGGGGCAGGCTGGCAGCGTGGGTGTGGGCTGGCGGGGTGGGGCAGGCTGGGGCGGGGTGGGGCAGGCTGGCAGCGTGGGGTGGGGTGGGGCAGGCTGGCAGCGTGGGGTGGGGCGGGGTGGGGCAGGCTGGCAGCATGGGGCGGGGTGGGGCAGGATGGCTAAAATTACTTTATTAAGTCTACTCAATAACTCGGTCAATAGAGTTTGGGCCTCACACACGTGGGGTCCAGGGTTTGTGTCTCCTAGAGCCAAGGTGAATGGCAAGATGGGCAAATTTGAAGAAATTAACAGGGAAATAAGCTCATATGGAGAACGACTAGAGTAACCCTGCAGACTATCCCAGGCTAGTCCAAACACATTTAAACAAGTATATGCCAAGAGAAACTTCATTGCCAGCTCAAAAAGGTTAATAAGGGATTGGAGAAGTGCAGAGAGGAAATAAACGTGCAAGTTCTAAAATGAGAGAAACGATCAATGAAGTACATTTGGAATTCAAAGCCAGAAATGACCAACAAGAAGCAGACATTTGACAAGCAATTAGAAAAGAACGGGTTAACAACAGTAAACTAGTGCAAAATATAGTACAGCCAATAGAAGCAAGTCCATAATTTTGGTATTTAGAAAAGGAAATGCCATGTAAGCTAGAGAGAAGCAGAAGAGGAAAAATAATTGAGAAAATGGTAGGTTCACGAGAAGGCCTCACAACAAGAATCTTTCAAAGGTGATACAGTATTTAATGCAGTGAAACAATTGTTGGAACTGCTTAAGAATACCAGAAATTTGCAGAATGATGAGGATGGGAAACTTGGATCATTAAAATGATACCTCTCGAAGGAAAACATAAAAGCTAAAACTAAACCTTGATGAAGAGAAACATAAATGGGATTAACCCTTTCGCGGGCGGAGTGTTCGCCCCACGCGTATGCACGAACTACTCCAGGCAGTGCGGGCGAATGTGCGGCAACACCAAAATGTGTATACTCGTTTCAGTTTTTTCACCTTAATTCTCGTGCTACGTCGTTCGTTTAGAATTCCCTACAGGTGTATATGCATACAAGGTAAATGCCCAGCCCGACTTCCCACAACAAAGCCTAAAGTCGGCAAAAATTACCCATGCGTGCACAAACTTGGTAAAATGTGTATACTCGTTTGTTTTCTTGCCTTAATTCTTGTGCTATGTCGTTCGTTTTGGTATTGTGTTCTCAATTAAATTCCATGCAGGTGTATATGCATAAATTGTCCAAAAACCCGGCGTGACTCCCCTTAGCAAAGCCTGAAGTTACCCATGAACGAAAACCAATTGGCACACCTGCAACCTAACGTGTATACGCATTCAGTTTGATAGCATCAATTTTCGTGTTACGTCTTTCATTTTGTATCAAATTGGTCACAGTATAAAGGTGTGCATTTTAAAACTAGTCCCATAATAATAGAGCAATAAATGGAATCTTTCAATAAAGCAATAAATAAACTGAAATCAATTTTTGTTTTACATCTTTCATTTTGGTATCAAATTGCTCGCAATCTAAATGCGTGCATTGAAAAACTAGTCCAATAATAATAGCACAATAAATAGAATTTTAAATATTTTAAAATTTGAACCAAAAAGTATTTATAATCTTTCCAGAGTTCTGACATCAATTTTTGAGTTACATCATTCATTTGGGAATAAAATTGTGCGCAATTTAAAGGCGATCAATTTAAAACCACTCCCAGATTGATGGGATAAAATTTAAATTTTTAACATTTTAAAATGCGGACGCCGCTTACGTCACCAACTCGGACTCTAGAGAAAAAGTTATAACGCCAAGGGCATTAGAAGTGTGAATGTGTTAAGAACAAAAATATTTTTTCTATATGACAGGGACTGGAAAGCCTGTGATATGTTACATAAAGGAAAACCAATAAACTGATTAGAAGAATGGGAAGTGAAGGACAAATGGAGTGAGCCTCAGGAAAAGATAAACGCTCCTGGTGCTTCAAGTTGAGAACGGCTGCCTCAAGCTTGTAATGGATACACACACAGGAGAAGGTAGGATGGGCCTCACCGCAGTTGAGGCAGCGAGGCTGGGGAGAAGTGCACTCCGACTTATTGTGACCTTCGCCCCCACACAAAAGACAGACAGTCCAGACAGTCCCAGAGCAGCAGAGGGCACCATGCCCAAACCTCCAGCACTTGTTACAGAGCCTAGGACAAGGAATGTACTCCTGGACAGAGCACCTGGCACCAGCAAGAATGACAGAGGGTGGAAGGGTCCTACCATCAAAGGTAATCTTCACAACCTGAAGGGGTTGACGGCGACGACCACGAGGGGGACGAGTAAACGGGTCTACCTGGAGGACAGAATGGCCTTGGGCATCAAGGATATGCTAATTATCATCGTGGCAGTCCTGCAGATTCCGAACACCAGTCGCAACATGGGGCGGGAGGAGAATAGTGCCAACACTGGCATTCAACCGAGCGTTCTTTGAGACCCGAACAGGGTCTCAAAGAATTTATCCTGCCTTATCTCGCCAAGGCAGGATAAGGCAGCCAAGCGGGACGCTGCATCCTGAGGAGCAGCAACGACACGTGTACCGAGATGAGTGGGGTTGAAGGTAACAGAGGCATCCACGGAATCAACAAGATGCCAATGGAGGGAGAAATCGTCAGGAGCAGCAGTCTCCGTGGTGTAGTGGTAAGACACTCGCCTGGCGTTCCGCGAGCGCTATGTCATGGGTTCGTATCCTGGCCGGGGAGGATTTACTGGGCGCAATTTCTTAACTGTAGCCTCTGTTTAACGCAACAGTAAAATGTGTACTTGGATGAAAAAACGATTCTTCGCGGCAGGGGATCGTATTCCAGGGACCATAGGTAAGGACTTGCCCGAAACGCTACGCGTACTAGTGGCTGTACAAGAATGTAACAACTCTTGTATATATCTCAAAAAAAAAAAAAAAAAAAAAAAAAAAAAAAAAAAAAAAAAAAAGGAGGCACAGAATCAAGAGGGAGGAGATCAAAGTATTTGGCCCATGAAGCGGGACCAAACAAGGCTTGATATGCATCAGTACAGGAAGGAATCGAGCGAGTGCGGCCAGGGCGCAGACGGCGTTGAGAACCCCCAGAGAGAGAGGGGTTAAAAGGTGCTGTAGTCACAACGAGAGACTTAGCCGTGCCAGGGGATGAAGTGGTCACCACTGGGGGCTCGACCTAACCACAGAGGAGGGAGGGGAGCTGGGGGAAGAAGTCAGGACGGTCAATGGAGGAGCAAGGTCGGGGCCCAACGCAGCGGGGGCTACAGAGCCTGGTCTTCCAATACAGGCCGACTCGGGGGCTTGGTCGCCCACCCCACGAGCCTGAGAAGGTAAAAGAGGAACATTTAACAACAAACACGTAGAGTGACAAATTCATCCACGAATGTCTCTCAATACCCACCATGGAGCCACAATTAGAGGCAGGACACCCAACAGGAAGCTATTGCCGAGCATGCCGGGGCCCCCTAGGGGTGCGTCGTGAGTATACGCCCCACAAACGCCACATTAAGAACCATCAGTCCGTCGAAATCGGGTTCAGTGACGAAAGGGGGATTGACAATAAAATGTTCCCCTCACTCGAGACGTTGGGTACAACAGTTCTACAGGTGCAAGAGTATGCCTCCTCAAGCACCCGGGCGTCAAAATAGAAGTAGTCCAAAGGAAGAACCAAAACAAGCAAAAGGTCGGCAGGAAACAACAAGCAGATAGGAGAAGAGGGGGAAGAAAACTAAACAGAAGGAAAAGGAAAAGTCATTCAGCACAATTAGAGAGGACAGCAGCAGGAGTACAAGGCTACAGAAGGACAGAGGACTGTCCCAAGGAGCATCACACTCCGGCAGCCGCCCACTGAGCCCCCCTCACGACAACAACGGGCTGAACGGGGAGGGGGGGTAGCTCCCTGAAGCTCACTGACAGTAATTACCCAAGTAATTACCAAAGTGTAGTTACAGGATGAGAGCTACACTCGTGGTGTCCCGTCTTCCCAGCACTGTCATATAAACGCTTTGAAATTACCGATGGCTTTGGCCTCCACCTCACCTAACTTGTTCCAACCATCTACTACTTTGTTTATAAAAGTGAAAAGTGCATTTTCTTATATTTCTCCGGCAGCTTTGTTTCGTTAGCTTAAATCTATGACCTCTTGTTCTTTAAGTTCTGGGTCTCGGGAATTCTTCCCAATCAAATATATCTATTCCTGTTACTATTTTGTACGTAGTGATCATATTGC